AACGGCCGTTAGCCAAACTTCACAGTTTAATAAAGTTGAAACAAAACAGCTTCGTGTTGTTGAAATTTTATTTAAAAAACTTCTAACTGCAAAATGGGGTGTAATCTTCAACCGTACATATATATATATATATATATATATATATATATATATATATATATATGAATTTATCAATATCAACTCACCCAGATTTATTGCAATCGGTGAAGACCTGTCTTAAGATGAATTCCATGTAGGTAATTGTCATGTACATGTTGAAAGCTGCATAAATCTGTCTACTTCGTTTTTTGTTATTGTTCTGGCTAATTTGTTTTAAATTTTAATTATTATGCTCCTATTCATTCAAAAAAATTAATTGAATTTATGAAGATTAAACCGCACTTTTTTTTACGTAAGACAACAAAACGATTCGAAATGATATATAACAACAATCAATTAATCAATAAATAAATCAATCAGTTTATAAATGGCTATTTTCGCAATGTTCAACAGCGCCCTTCAGTAAATTTTGCAAACAGATCTTGAGATCCGCTCTGAACTTCGATAGTGAGGGAGAAGTAGTCAGAAAAGGAGGTAGAGAGTTTCAAAAAAAATTATCAGAAAAAGCAGATGCATATTTAGCAAAAGAGTCATTGAAAAGAGTTTAGAAGAAGTGAGAACAGGAAAACTATCGCAAACCGGGGCGTTAGGCACGATTAATCTATTTGACAAGTATATATGAAATAATTTAGATCGAGACTTAAATATTAATGTGCTAATTTTAAAAATAATTCCATATTTTATAGGTAATCAGTGCAAGAGAACAAGATATGGAGATATGTGAGCACCTATAGCAGCTGGTGTGGTTGTGTGGTACCCCTTTAGAAAATACAAAATTCAACATTTTGAAATTGTTCAAAAACTAGCATCCAAAATACCACTCCTGTGCAAAAAAGTAAAATACTAAGATAGGTTAAAGCTACTCGGGTGGCCTTCACTGGTTTACAGATGCAGAAGAGGAATCTTGATATTAACTAATCCATTGCAAACTAATCCAAACTAAGCAACAAGTCGCGAACAAATCTGTTGCATTCTCATGTTGTCTGTAGAGGGCCAAGGATTTGGAATGACATTTTACAAAATGATTTTTCTTTCAACGGAACATCACTTACTATGTTCAAAAAGAATTTAAAATTGTTTTTGTTAAATTTTAATGACAGAGAAAATTTGTAAAAAAAAGAGATGACGTTTTATTTAACTTTAATTACTGGTTATTTGTGTACATTTGGGTTCAGGTGGCTGTGCTAGATGAGCTCTCTATGAGCTTTATCACAGTCATCCTGGCTTCATTTTTTTTTTTTGGAGTGAATAAAAGATTGTATTGTATTGTATTGTATTGTATTGTATTGTATTGTATTGCTTAATGGCAACAAGGAGAAATGGTGTTAAGTTGATTAAGTGGACTTGCAAAAAAAAAGTCAGATAATAATTACTTCACCAACAGAATAGTAAATAACTGGAATGGCCTACCTGAAGTTACGGTCAAATCAGCCAATAATACTAGTTTCAAGATACATAAATGACACGCAAATTTGTGAAGCGTTCCATATTTTTAAATATTGGAAAATAAATTAGATAAATTTTGTCGGAGTAAATTCTATATATGTAAGTAAAGATATCAAACCAAAAGATGTTTAAGTTAAAGTGAACATAATCAACCAAAAATTTACATTTCAATTATTGAATTATTTATTCTTAAAAACTGTTTACATGACGGCAAGAGGCTTTATTCTAAAAAACCACAAAAAAACAACAAATTGAAACAATATATCAAAAATCTTGCGTTTTAAAACACAGAGATAAATAGAAAAAAACTCAACTGAAAATATTCAAAAACACGTAACAACGCGCAACAACAGGCCACAAACTAAATCGTAGCTTTAAAAATGCATAAAACCATTATGCGAATAAACGGGCAACTACACTGGCTTACCTAACAACAATGTTTGACCAAACAACGTACTCCAACATGAAAAAACAAAAACAACAAACCGAATAATAAACAACAACATGCAACTGCGAACAATAACAACTTGTAACGTACTATAAGATGCTAAAATATGCCATGTACATAATTGCATAATTATCATATACTCGAAGCTACAGCAATATACAACATGCAACAACAAACAACATAATACAGCAACAACAACATACAAAAACATGCAACTACCTGCAACCACATACAACAACGTGCAGCAGCAACAACAATATTTTTACAACAACTTATTTACAAGATGAAACAGCAGCCAAAAACATACAACACCTAATAACATGCAAAAATATGCAACAACATGCAGCAATATGCAACATCAGGCAACAACATGCAACAATATACAAAATACAACAACAAGTATGCAAACTTTACCCTTTAGCAGGAATTGCTCTGGTGAGACCACAATAACATCCAGACAGGGAGTAGTCAACGTTAGCACCGTAGAAAACCAAATTTCCATACTCTGATGTCGATTGAACAAACCTATCCAAAAAATAAGCTTAGTTGGTAAAACGATGGGCAGATTGTTTCATTTAAAATCAAACAAATTTCAAGTTTAAATTTAATCTTGTTGACTGTTTTAGCTTTAACTGGACATAATTAAAACATAGTAACGTTGATTAATTAATGATGCTGCGATTGAGTTGCAACATTTTTTGATTTTTCTAGCAAGCGGACGATATATATATATACATACATGTGCTGCGATTGAGGTTATTGCGGTTGCAACATTTTAGAAACTATTAAATCCCTTTGGAATATCTTTTTTGGAAATATTCTTTAAAAAGACTATCAAACTAACATCTTTTGTCGTCTACAAAAATTTTGGATTTGGAAATTTTGTTTCGTATATTAACAGTGATTTTTTAGCTAAGTATTTCCAGTTAGAGTTACAGATACCATGTATAAGACTTTTATAATTTTATGGAAAGATTAAAAAATTAAAATTGTGTGTTGAATCTAAAATGTGAGCATTAATGAAACATGAAGGTACTAGAAAATCATATCAGCAAGGAAATTTTCAAATAATTTTTCACTCATCCAACAATTGAGAACATCAGTTCATTTAAAGCTGCGACCCCAAAATTTTTTAAAACAATGTTAAATAATTTTAGAAGTTTTATAGTAGACAGTGAAATTGAAAATATGTTTTTATCTTTAATAAATGTTTTTTTACAAAGTTGATTAAAAACTGAAGTTGCTCTAAGTGCACCATCATTTACGATGAATTGCTTGTTAAACTCGATCAGCATCTTGTGTAATTCTGCATGGAAATACCAATTTATACGTGAATAATTCTGTGCTTGGATGTTTCTATCCTACTGATAAGATCACAAAAACTGTATCCAACTTTGAATACCAGGGCGTAACATATTTTCTTCATGAGGTGCTAGACTATTTTGTCACATAATTTGCCTTTCTTTTTAACTATTTTATAGTTCTGGCAAAAGACAGTGCACAGTTGAAGAAACTATATCTATGCTAGTCTAAATTGCGCA